TCAACGCCGACGTGACCGACTCCCGCTTCTCTGTATCTGAGACAAAATCGCAAATACTTTATGTGCATCACAGTTTTCACCATTTTCGAGCAACCGATGCCTATCAAAACAAAATTTGTCAACCACCATAATCCGCATTCATGTATTGAAGAAGAAGGATCACAACTCTTTGAGTTTGAGGTACAGAAAACTTGTTTATAAATGGGGTATTAATTACTATTCTTGATTTTTCCCATCTTATAATGGAGAGTTATGATCGACCCTCAAGGCGCTTACTTTATCTTGGAGTATACGAGACAAACGTATGAATAATCTGGTACCGTTGTCTATTGCTTTCGAGGTTGTAATGCTGGGGAAACGAAGAGAGTCTGTTGTTAGTGAGATATGTAGTAGCTCTCTTGATTCGTTTTAAGTTATGTTGTTGTGTTTGTTATCATTTTTGGTTGCATTGTATGCTTTCGTGAAAATGCCAGAATGAAAGTAGTGTAAATGATTTGGATTTATTGTGAATATATAGAAAATAGAGTTATTTTTGAAACCCCATTTTTATTTTTGTGTGTTTTTTTGAAGTATTGCAGGATAAATCAATCTGCTTTACCCTTAACTTATAAACCCGGCTCGTTAATTTGTGTGTTAAAAAATTTAAGGGTCACCGTATTTTGTCTTCTGATTTTCTGCAATTGGGTGATCAGAGTGTATATTATCTGCAAATTAAAGTGATTATCCATTTGTGCTTTGTGTTCTTGTGTTCTTGGTGGCAGGTATATATCCAGTATAACGCCACCAGTTGCCCTTCTCCATGTAGATGCAGTACTGATATTTTGCAGTTCATCAAGAATTAATTTTCCACAAGCTTGATTTTTGTCCAACCATTGGATTCTCGAGTTCAAGATTTCAAGTTCCATGAAAAATCCTGATACATTTGATTCCTTAAATGAGTTAAGTAAAAGAAAGTGAGCTCAGAAACTTAGCTGTTTGAAAATGGGGACAAAAGACAATGGAGATGATCTTTCAGAAGATTGGTCATCACACGCATCATCACCGAGTGAGGCTTTTCATCAATTTCCTCAGGAGGGTGTTAAAGTGGCTGCCGAGGAATGGCACAATGGCTTTCCCGGTAGTCCAATCCTTCCTCTTCCAGAGCAAGCACCGAGGCACAGGCGGGCCCACAGTGAAATACCCTCTTTGTTCTATAAGAAGTCTACTAGTACCAGCAGTTTCCATAGATGGAAGTCTCAGATGCAAAGGGCTTTGCAATGGGGTGGTCGTAGTTTTCAAGACCGTCATTATTCTTCTTTCGATCCCGAGATTTTGGCTAATCAGAAGAGGCAGTGGTATCAGATTCACTCGAAAACGTCGGTATGCATTTCCAAAATGAAGTTGTTTTTTGTAATGACTGAGGCTGTGAACACATTCTTCTTATTGAGTTCTCAATTTGGAACTTGTGCTGTTTGTCTTCTTATTGAAGTTGATTTGATTTGTTTTTATGTTAAATAGGCTGGTTGTTGATTTAACTTACCATGTGCATGCTTTGTTCTTTGTTAGTTGTATCCCCCTATGTTCTATCCTTTTAGATAATGCAATCATAGAGACAACATTGTAACTGATTTCTTTCAATATATAATTTGGCATCATGTAAAACTGATACAAGAAATTTGAGATGGTGACTTTATATTTTCACTGTCATAATTAGAAAGAAGAAAAGTTGCTCTTTTGTATTGCATGGTCTTTTGGTTTATCTAATCTTTTATGTAAATTTTGTCGTTAGTGTTGTGTAATTACATATTTTGATGATTGAGTATTGCATTAGTAAAGTCGGACAAGCGCGAATGCAGGGCCCTGAAATATATAAAGAGCCAACCTCGCTTTTTGAACACTTCATTATAGCCGGGCTTGGTCCAGATGCTAAGCTTCAAGTTGTTGAAGATGCATTTGTAAGAAGGAAGAAATGGGAGCACGAAAGCGAAAGAAATGAACTGTTAGACTTTCACTCGCGGAAACATCAACGACCTACATTTCCAACATTGGAACCTCAGGTTTGGCAGTATTGGTGAATATTTTTTTTTTTCTTTTTCTTTTACACAGATAACATGTGTTGAATAAAACATTTTTTGTTTTCCATTTTGAATAACTTGACCGTTCTTGTGTTTTTGGCATTTGCTTCCAGAAATTCTTTTGACAGTCTTTAATTTTTCTTTATCCAAATAGGTCCTGTTTGTGTATCCTCCTGGGAAGAAGTTGTCTTTGCGTATAAAGGATCTGGCTGCATTTTGCTTCCCTGGAGGTGTCAAGGTTAGATTTTTCTTAAATCGCTTTTCTCTGAATAAGGTATCTTCCATCATTATTTGTCCAGAGCTGGTCGATGTTTATTTGAATCATGGAAGTTGATATTGCTTATTCGAAACAGACGTGTGACTTTGTCACATTTTTATTGATGCTGGTTACTTCAATTGTTTGTTCAAGGAGAAGAGACCTATTCTTTTAAATATCGAAGGTGTTTGCAAACTTGTAATGTACTCGGTAATGATGATACGAGGGTTTAATATTTTCTTAACTTGGTTCATTAATTTTGTAGGAATCACTAATTTCTTAAGGAAACAAACTGATGTTTTGCTGCTGCAAAAAACATGTATCTGCATCTGAAAGACAGATTTTATTTTTTTACTTTTTATTTTTTTTTTCTCTCTCTCTTATATGTACTTCTATTTCTCAGGCACGCATGATGGAGAGAACACCATCTCTAAGTGACTTGAACGAACTTGTTTATGGACAGGTAAGCAGAAACTCTTGCTGACCATATGCTATTGTGTTAACAAAAATTGTGCAGACTACAGGATAACCTTTTCTTCCCTAAGTGCACTTCTATATCTAACAAACTGACCCATTTTTATTTATTTTTTTTTTTAAAAAAGAAAAAAAAGGTCAATTTTTGCATGTTGCATTTTTATCTCCTATTGTGAAATGTATCAATCTTTTGCACTTTTCTTCAGGAACACTTGCGAAGAGATGATTTATCCTTCATTTTTTCACTTAAGGTGAATCTTTATCCATTTGTTCTCAGTGCATTCCTTTTTTATTTTTATTTTTTCCTCTTTAATTATTTCCTTATTTCCTTTTTTTGGCGTGCCTCTGAGCGAGCATTATTATTTTTGGAACATTTCTCTCTGTCACTATCAACAGGTAGCAGGCAACACAACACTTTATGGTGTTTGCTTGCATGTGCAGGAGGTTGTTCAGAGACCTCCTGTTGTGTTTGAGGCTTCACCACCTCTTTCCCAATTGAATTACGGCTCCAGTAGGTTTTTGGTCTCGGCCCCTCGTTGTTATTGTATCTTGACAAGAGTGCCTTTTTTCGAGCTGCACTATGAGATGTTAAACAGGTCAGCGTCAAGTTCATCAGTATTTTACTTTGTCTCCAGGCCCTCTAATCAAACAAATTTTGTTCATCCTTGTTTTATAAAGTGATAATTACAAGCTGCCCTTCAGTTCTTGTAATCTAAAAATGACATTTTCGCAATGGAATAAATGACAAATTACAGACACCTCCTCTATGCAATTTGTAAAACCGATTGCATATGGGTGGGGTGGGGTGGGGTGGGGTGGGGTGGGGTGGGGTGGGGTGGTATCTGTATTCCGGATTATTTCGATAAAGTAACCCTGAGATTTCCGTCATGACAGAACCAGAGAAGGTCTAAAACAACCAAAGGCCCCTTTCGGACTTATTCTGTTTTAAATTGAAGCGACTGTAATGTTTTCATAAAAGATAATGTAGTGTATTTTTTTCAAGATTCCTTCTTCTTTTGGCTCATGAGAAGGAAAGACAAGAGACTAGTGAATCTTTGAGAGGTTCTTTGTAATTTTTAATTCTTATTATTTGAATATACTACAGAATCTTCCAAAATTAGGCCAAACCCTAAGGGCAGTTTCTACAACCACCCATTGTATGCATGGATACTAAAAGTTTTACTGCAAATTTTATTCGACTCGAAATGCAGCATCATTGCTCAGGAACGCCTGAACCGGATCACCAAATTTGTAGCTGAAATGTCTCTTGCCGAAAATGCCCCTTCACACCCCTTGCCGAAAAACCATATAAACGAGAAATTTGAAGAAAGCGGCAACACCACAGATTGGATGGCTACAGCAATTCCTGTTGGCAGTGCCATCACCCTAACGGCGGCCGCAGCCGGAATCATATCGGACGAGGAGGCTTTCTCGAGGTGCGAGAATTCTCCGGTTAGTGTGGCCGCCAGTGACAATTCATATAATTGTCAAATGATGGACGGGGACAAAAATGTCCATGCCTCGGATGACTGCATCTCAGAGACCTCCGAGTTCGTTTGTACTCCAGTCAACCTGTATGACTGCAGCAAAAACCAGTGCCGTCAAAGCTTTGAGTCCTTATTCAGGTCAAACAGTTTTTTGTAGGTAGTGAATTTTTGGGATACTGACCGGAATTTAATATAGGCTTGTTTATTTTTCAAGCAATTTAATTGTTAACAGTGTTTTAGGAAAGTTAACTGCGTTTTAGGAAACAGGCCTATAATTGGGGGACAACCGAAAATAGTTACCAAGCCTATATTTGTGTTGTGGAATATTTTATTTTATTTTTTGTTTAGTGTATCGCTTTAATTTTTAACATGTTTACCATGTTATACATTCTTAATCTTTTTTTCTCACACATTTTCTTGTGGCAGTCCAGCTAGAAGTCTGCCATCAGAGGAAGAGGATGACATCTTTAGTAACTATGATGAAGATCTGAGCTTTGATATGATAATGGAATGGGCAAGGGTGAGTTTATTTTAGCATTGAGACTGAAAACTTTGATGTTATTCGAATTTGCATTAGTCATACTCATTGTCAAATGCCTTTCTGATTTCTTTGCTAGGAAAATAAAAATGATTTGCTTCAGATAATTTGTGGTTATCATTCTCTTCACCTTCCTGCAAGGGGAGGGAAAGTCATTTTTCAGCCACTTGAGCATCTGCAGGCCATTGAGTTTCAACGGGTTCCTATATCTGCTCTTGGCCTATTTGAAAAGTATCTTGACAAAAATACAAAAGATTCGTCTCAGGTCAGTTTGATTTTAAATAAAATTCAGTAGTTCGACTGTAAGAATATTAGACTTACTGACATATTTCCATTTTTGAACATCAAGTTAAAATTGGCTATTGCTGAGGAAGCTGTTGCACTCTCTCTATGGTCTACTGCTACAATATGTCGAGTTCTTTCTCTTGAAAGCGTAATTTCGTAAAACCTTAAATTCTTAGTTTTCTGATACCATGGAAGATGCTTGACTCTATTTGAATGAATAGATTAATATAATTTCCGAGTGTCAAGGCTCCATATATATATATTTATGTACATATTTGCATATATTTTTAGGTTTATGGAGTCTTAGTGAGTTTTTTGTGCCCAGGTTCTGGCTATAGTCACTGGTGTATTATTAGAAAAACAAGTGGTGCTGCTGTGCCCAAACCTGGTATTTTAGTGGTTCATTAATGGAGTAATTATCAAGTTTACTGCTTCTCGTAGTCTGAAGAAGGTGATCATAATATTTTTTGTGTACAGGGTGTACTGTCTGCTGTGGTGTTGTCCCTTATCCCCATCATTCGCCCATTTGAATGGCAGAGTTTATTTCTTCCAGTTAAGTTTGCTACATTTTTTTTATTGTCTTGTTATCCTCTGATTTTGAAATCAGAAATTTGCAACTTATTAAGTTTTGAAGGTTCAATATATTTTCCATTTGTTTTGTTCATTTCCATAACTTTTAAATTTGTATTTTTTCTCCCCTTTTTTCGGTTTTTCTTGAGTTCTTAGAATCGATTACTTTTTAAGGCAGAAATGAGTAAACAGACGGACTTGTTGAATGCTCAAAAATTGATTATCATTTGAAATTTTCTGAAGATGAATCAAGTCTTGGTTTAGTTCCTAGCTTCATGAGTTGGTCAATTATGACATTTCAGCTTATATTGTGGATGGTATTTTTTGATAGGTTATTTTTTTCTGCCTGGTCATCTTTGCTTGTTAATAGTTAATAAAGAATTGTTTTCACTGACTTAATGTGTGTTCTGCTCCAGATTCTGCCGACAAAAATGTTCGATTTCCTAGATGCCCCTGTTCCTTTCATTGTGAGTTTGTTCTAATTTTGATCCAATTTTCTTGCACAATGCATGTATACAGTTTATTTAAAGTCTGAAATTATTCCAATGAGCCATCTGGGATTATATTTTGTGCTCCGGTATCAACATAGTTTCCACAGGTTCATTTTCTTTTTTTCTTTTTCCTCTTTATGAAAACGGAACTTTTTTCTCCTGTTTCATGCATTTATATTAATGTTCTTTTGGAGAAACACGAAAACTGTTTTACATTCCTTTCATCATTACTGCTGTTGCCCATAAGAAGTTAATTTAATTTTCAGAGTTGTGCAATTCTATATCAGGTTGGCATTCAACAAAAACTTGCTGATATGAAGATGAGAACTCCTAATCTGGTTCAAGTCAACATAAATAAAAACCAGGTTTGTTCAATTTTTATTTCATAGTGAATTTTTATTCCTTCGCGCCGATTTATCATCACTCTCCTTTGCATGCATTTTGTCTGTTTTCGAAAATATTAAAAACATGAGGTAGCGTCCACTTACCATATATTATAATAATGACTATTTATTTTGGAATAGGTGAAAACGTGCAATCTACCCCAACTTCCTCAACGAAAAGAGCTTATATCTGAACTCGGGCCAATCCATTCCATCTTGTCATCCGAAGAATGTGTCGCTCAGAAAAATCCAGTCTATAAATGCAATGAAGTGCAGGTATATAGTGGCTAAATAGTTTTTTGATCTTTTTATCCTACTATAAATATCTTTTTTTTTTCTTTTTTTTTTTGTGTGCGTGTGTGTGTTGATGTTGGATTTTCAAATATAACCATAATCATGACTCGCAGGCTGAGGCTGCTGCCCAATTTCTATATGTTATGAGGCGGTACTTAGAGTCGCTCTGTTCAGATTTGAGGTTGCACACGATTACCAGTGTACAATCAAACAATGACAAGGTTTTCTAATTGTCATCTTTATTTTATAGTTATGTATAAAAGCTCAGTATAGTTTCTCATTTTCTATTACTCACAACTGAACTGAATATATCATACAATAAAGTGTTAAACCGTTTCAGGTTTCTATACTTCTGAAGGATAGCTTTATCGATTCCTTCCCCTCGAGAGATCGGGCATTTGTTAAGGTATGTTTTAATCGGCTATTTTCTAGTTTATGCGTTGAATTACAAGTTTTGTCAATCTGGTTCAATCGACTCATTTGTACCATTTCATTTTATGTATGTACATGAGAGAATATGGGTAATTTACATTAAACATCCCTAACATTTACCCCAATTACACATAATTTTACTTATTAGATGTAATTTTGGCTCATGCGTAAAATTGTGAGCGAACAATCTATACTTTCAATTTTATGCTTTATACTGAATTCTTCACATTTATATCCTTGAATAAATTCTTTACCTCAGAAACAAATCATGCTTCTTTTTTTTTCTTTTTTTTTTTTTTATATATGTTGGCTCTTGCAGTTATTTGTAGAAACACAGCTATTCACAGTCTTGTCCGACTCTCGTCTTTCGAGTTACGAAAACGAATAGAGAAGAATACGACCAGAAAAGGGACGGGATCATTTTGGGACGAAGAACAGTTAACAGCATAGTTCAGCCCAACTTTTTAAGCCACATAACCTTTAACTGCAGTTTTGAGTAAGAATCTCAGGAAAGTAGCACACAAAGCCTCCTAATTCAGAAGATGATCCTTAGACAGATGTTATCATAATAATCATCCCTTATTTGTTTATTTTTTTGGGTTGATGTCAACATTCTGCATAAAACATGCATGCCTGTTCTTATAGCAACCCCTCGTTACCAAAGCGATAACGTTATATTGTGTGTAGCTTGTTGTACATGTGTTTTTACAGTTTGGGCTTTTTATGTGTATTGTCAGCATGTAATCACAATGTACAGATTCAAAGGGAACTAATTAATTAGTTTAGACTGAGGATTGTTTATTTCCGGATTTCGGCTCCTAAGTTCCAGGCTTTCCATGCTCAATTTCAATCAATCCCCTCATCAATTTCCCCATTGAGATTTATTGTAGACCAATCTTCTCGATTTACTGCTGAAAACGAGGTTTCGAAAACTTTATGTTGTAGAAGGGAAAGCGGTTGTAGTGAGTCATCTGACGGTAGATGAGTTGTGTTCGATCGGCTTGTTTGGAAGACGGCCGAGAGGATGTCGGTTTACTATGTCATGAAAAATAGAACTGTTGGTGGCTCAATGATTGCGGGTTTTTTTTATCCGCTAATCGTGATTTGTTTTTATGTGCTGATCGTGAATTTGTGAGAATTTTGTGTTGGGGTTTATGAGAACATTTGGATTTTAATGTTTATTATACGATTATTACTAGTTTATAGGAATTACGAGAAACTCGAGTGTATATTTTCTGTATGTATATGTACAATTAAGAATACACTCATCAATGTTTCATATACCGAAAATTAGTGATCTTGTTTATTGTTGTTTGGTTGCAAAAGTATGTTCTAAATTCATAAGTATATTTATTATTTATAAACCGTATATATTTCTTTTTATGTTGGTGCTGAGCAAAACAATCGGTGAGATCAAATTTTGAACTTATCGACATCTTCATCTTCAACAAAATCGGAGTATTGTCCGGGGTTTGGTTCCTAAATCCACTGGACATAATCTTCCAAATTGAAGCCTTTTCACCTCTTCACACACCTAACCACCACCATGACTAGAGCCACCGCCACCACCCCACACCAACGCAACTACTACTCAACCTCTCGCTTCAAACCCTCCGAGTTAGATCCCCCACCAATGTCGTCGCCGCCACCTCCATTACCTCCACCCCCACCCACTCCACCGCGGCCACCACTGTTACTTCCGGGATATTGTCCAGTTTTATTAAGTGTTTCATGAAAATTGAAAATAGAAAAAATTAAAATAATAAAAATAAATAAATAAATAAAGAGATAGGTTTTTTATAATAACATATCTTAAAAAATCAGTCCATCCACCCTAATAAATAAGATGTATCCGTAATTGTAGGCTAAACAGATTAATTAATTTTGTATTATATGGCCAACTCTCAGTTTGCAAATAAATAATTTGTTTTGTTAATTAACAAATAAAAGAAAATGGACTCGTGCCACAAGTAATTTTTTAATTTAGATTTTCATCTTAACTACTCAATCGTTATGTTATTTTACTTAAAATTGCATGTAATATCACAACCTTTGAACCACTGACTTTTGGACTTTGATAAGGTACATCATCACATCATTTTATAATTTAATCTATTTTATATTTGAAAAAGTTGTTTTTTAATCTCCGAATCTCTTAAGTATTGTGTTAAGATTTTTCAAACAGACTAATTTGAGTTCTTTGAATTGCTTAGTTAGGGTTTTATGGGGTCAAATCTAACAAACATCTTTTAGCTTAATCATTGTTCTATACAATTAAATTGAATAATTATATTTATATTGTATATAGTGGTTTGACTGTTTTTTTTTTTTTTTTCTACATTATGTGGTGATATAATTTTCCAAGGTCAAAAGGTTGCAAAGGAAATACAAATTTGAATGAGATTTTGATATTACGTGTAATTTTGCCTATTTTTTATAATTTAGCATTTTTTTTTTCATCCATCAAAATATATCTATCATATTTTAACAAAAATAAGCGAGTGTTGAAGTTATATTGTTAATAGATCTAAATATAAAAATCATAAATAAATTATTTAAAACAAAGTAAATCAATTCTTTTATTGTATCTTAGTGTTTTTACTTATATGGTAAAATAATAAGAAAAACATCTATTCTTTGGTTAGATGGAAATACAATGCACGATGAAACGTGAAAGGATAAATTATGTTATTATTTGATTTTATTTGTCAATTGAACAATAACGTTAAGTGAAAATAAAATTTATAGTGTGGTAAGCAGCTTGTTTGTTGTCGCTTAAGTAAGGTCTCGAGTTTGACTCTTTGTGAACGTAGAAAATCATTGTTGGAGACTCACTCACCACTGTCAGGTGGCGACCCGAGTCGACCAACGGATTAGTCGGGGCATAGTTTCGGACACTGCAGCTGGCAAAAAAAAAAAAGAGAGAAAAAAAAAGAAATCCACACACTCAAGTAAATTAAGTACATCCCCCTATATATTAATACAGAACGCGCTGAGCCTACGTGGTTGCTTCTAGTGCTTCGGAGTCTTATGTGGCAAAATTACATGCTTCGTTATTAGACTTGAGTAAATTTTAATTTAATTCCAAACCAAAAATAATTAGGTTCGGATTACCATAAATATGTTGATTATTTATGGTCATGTTACATGTATTAATTTTATTTTAATATCATTCCTTATTATAACTATTGAATTGTATATATATTTTAAAAGTTAATAACTTTTGTATTTTTTATCAGTTTTACATATGTAATATATCAAATTTAATCTTTTTTTATGAGCTTCGATTTAACATCCATATTGTATGTATAAAAAAATAATTTATATTTATCTTTATAACAATAATAAAATTATTTTTAATATTAATTAGAAAAATAAAATAATTTATCAACTAATAAATTTACATTTCAAATAGTTATATGATAAAGTTATAAAAACTAATATAATATAACACATAAGTAACACATCATTCTAAAATATATAGTAATATATATTTTTTTTTGTAAAAAAGTAAACTAAATTTAATATAGTTTTCTCATTAATTTTAAAATTTAAGAATAATTTTTTAACAAGCACCCGTGTAATACACGGGTGTTGTA